TCATCAGGTACAAGTAATTTACACTGACACGGATGTACCTGATGATGACAAAACCTTGTCGAAACGTTGTACATTTGCTGTTATGTTAAACTTATATTAAAGTTTTTCTTCATTACCCATTCAAGCCGTCTCCAGCAGGTATTAGTCTCAAAGTGGGTTCCTCGTCACCGAATTAGCTTATAAGTTGTTATGAGCCAAAAACCAAATTCCCCAATCTCCAAAACCTCAAGAATTTAACGCCGGTGAAAAAAATAAAAATAAAAATTGACACTCAAAGAGCTAAAGAAATATAACGGTACTGATCCTGATGGGAAGGATTTGTGTTGCAGTAAACGGTCACATTTGTGATGTCGTTAATGAAAAACGATTTTGGGACCAGGTAAAATAAACTGAAATTAATTTTAATTTTTCTTGAGTCATTGATGTGTATTTGAAATTTTAATACTGTGTTACGACGCTGGTAACACGTCATGAGTTTCTAGAAGGATCGAGAAAGCTCACGAATATCCCAGTATTTGATAGACGTCCTCTATTTTAGTATATAAGCCCGGCAAATAAAGCGGAGAGAATAATTGCAGATAGGGAGATGTAGAGACAGATAATTGAGTCAAGTGACCGTAAGAAAGTGCGTGAATCGTTGTGAATTATAGCGTGTGTTTAAGTTTAAAGTGACTGTGGAAATTAAGTGTATTACAAAGTTTGTAACGAGAAGGAATAAACTAGTTTTAATTAAGAAAGGACTTGTATCGCTGAAGTTTCTCGGAAAGAATTTCTACGGGAAATTAACAAACGACCAGAGACGTAACAAACTGGTGTCAGAGAGTGAGCCTAAAAAAGAAAGAAAGAAAGAAAAAGAAGATGGAAACAAGAAGTGGCAACTCAAACTATAGCTTAGCTGATTTGATGGCAGCAATACAAGAACAGAAAATAAATAAGAAGAACGGAAAAATAAATACGAAAAGAAACAAGAAGAGAGACAACAGCAGTTGCAAGAAAACTTGCAACAGTGGCAGCTCGAACAGCAAAATAAACAAAAAGAGAGATTACAGCAGTTGTTGGAGGAAAAGGAAAAGAAACAAAAAAAACGAGAAAAGAAACAAGAAGAGAGATTACAGCAGTGACAAGAAAACCTGCAGCAATGGCAGCTCGAACAGCTAAATAAACAAGAGAGATCACAACAGTTGTTGGAGAAAAAATAAAAGAAACAAGAAGAGAGACAACAGCAGTGGTTGGAGGAAAAATAAAGTAAACGAGAAGAAAGTCTTCAACAGTTGAGAGAAAGCCAGCATACACAAATGGAAAAGATGAGTAAATTTCAAAGTGAATTAAATACATTAAAGGATGATTTACTGTCTTTTACACAAGACCCCACAGCTAAACCCTAATGTAGACATCTTCAGTCCTGTTAGAAGTCACATCCCAGATTTGTCAGCAATAGGGGTGAACTAGTACGAATGAAGCCACAGGAATTCGATGGGAAGGCACCGTGGGAAGGATATAGAGCACAATTTGAGCTCCTGGCAGAGATGAATGGATGGACAGAGGAGCAGAAGGCAGTAGACCTGGAAACGAGCTTGAAGGGACAACCACTGGAATTACTTGGACAGTTGTAAGCAGACGACAGGCACAAGTATAGAGCACTGGTAGCTGCTCTACAAATCAGGTATGGAATTCAAAATCAGTCCGAAGTCTACAGGGCTAGGTTTATAACTAGAGTCCAGGCTAAAGGGGAGAGCCTGACAGAGCTGGCACAGGACTTGGAAAGTATGGCACACAAGGCCTACCCAACTGTCCCACCCGATCTCCTCAAGCTGTTGCTGAAGGATCAGTTTGTAGATGCCTTGGACAGTCCACAA